TCATAAGTAAGGGAATAAACTTATCTATCACTCCTGGATCATAGTTGGGTAAGCGGGGCGGTAGAGATCATTTACATTTTGCGACGAGGAGGATCCGGTTCTTTGAATCAGCGGGATATGTCGCGAAAGCGCTTCTTCAGCTATGGATAAGGAAGATGAGTCTTGACGCTTTTGGATCCTAATGCCTTCCACCGGGCATTAGAGCCCGCTTCCTGGGCAGGACCGGGAATGCCATCTAGTTTGTGGTAAAGTCGAGATTGTGCTAACTCTATTCGAATGATTCGCTGTTTAGCTTCTGAGAAAAGAAAGAAATGAATCTGAGACTCATAATCTCACAATCAGACATGTCCCCTTCTTTCCCAACGCGCTTGTTGAAAAGAAAGTGAGCAGTTAGTTTTGATATTGGTACTACTTCTCACACTGACATAGATATTCAGTTTATTAGTTAGTGAAACGCTATATAGATATCGCTCACACTCACATACGAATAAGAGCATACTTGGAGGTGGAAAATGTATCAATAACAACATCTAAGATTTAAATCCCAAACAAAGCTGAAAGGGAAAGGCTTTCTGTTAAGCATGATTACTGCCTGTGTCTTTTTCGAGAAACATCCACTTACAAACAAGTCCAAGTACTAACAATCGGGGCATCGAGTACTTATACATGACTAGCTGGCTTACCCGGCTCCGCCGTATGTTCCGAATAGAAAATTCCGTTTCTTAACCGATCCTGACCAAACTTACTTGGCACACATAAACTTCGGGCCCCGGCGGGTGTCATAGGCTACTTTTCGCCATCGATCGATGTCGATTTTATCGATTTTTTGCAAAATTTGAGCTACGGGGCTGGAATTTGGCAGAGGGGTGATCAGCATGCTCGATTACACCCCTCTGCCAAATTCCAGCCCCGTAGCTCAAATTTTGCAAAAAATCGATAAAATCGACATCGATCGATGACGAAAAGTAGCCTATGACACCCGCCGGGGCCCGAAATGTATGTGTGCCAAGTTTGGTCCCGATCGGTTCAGAAATGGAATTTTCTATTCGGAACATACGTACACACATACAGACATACATACATACAGACAGACAGACAGACATACAAACAGACATTCAGCTTTATATATAAGATATAGCCTATAGATGTGGTTGGCCTAAGAGGATTTCGACGTTTTGAACACTAAAATGGCATCATGCTCAAGACTGAATCGACCCAAAATGTTTTTTTGCTTTTTTGTTATATTAACACGTTTCGGACCGCGAAATCGCGCGCGGCGGAAAAGAGGGTACTTTCAGCCGTTAGCCAACAAAGGGACCTTAATTCGTAAACTGTGTGCCACATGTGTATTCAACATGTCGGATAACATCCATACCCAAAGTTCTGAGTGAATTCAAAGTGTTTGAATTTTGTCGCCTAAGAAGGACTTCTGCGCTTTCTTAAGAAGTTGGAACAAGAACTCAGTTTCTAATTGTATCAAAAAGTATCTATGTTGTACACGATACACATCATTATTGGAACTACGGTTTTTCTCTTTGAATTCGAAGCAAAGAAAAGTTGCGACGTCGCACGCGTCGTCCGCGTTGCCGCACTTCGTTGCAACTGTTGTTCGAATTGTCGTCATATCTTCTAAACAAATATCGGCGGCACAGCCTTACATTGTCATTTGAAAAGGAGGAGCTTAGGCCTTTGACTTGATAACCTTGGACAAGAAGAAAACCTCCTGCAAACATTAAGACCCCTGAAAGGCGCGTGCTGCACCATGTGCAGCACCGGTCCGAAACGTATTACCTCAAAACTTGCTTTTCTCGCTCTTTTATCCTTATGTTTTGTTATGTTGATTGGATAAGGATTTTTCTGGTTGACTTTGACGTCAAAAGGCACTTCGTAAATTTTCGCGAATTCATAGAGGACTTCGTTTTCAAAAATGCTCCCCAACGCGTGCCGGGCCCTGTGGCACCTTGTGTGCGCGCCCCGCCGCACGGTATATCGAAAACGCTCCATTCACAAGCTACTAAAGAATATCCTTCATAACCTTCTTTTTCTTTTTTCGTCGTGCCGAGAGCTTTCTCAGCTTCATATTCCAAAAATTTGATTTTAAAGAATTTAAATCCAAAAAATCATAAAATAATTAATACAGATTTAAAAAATTCGAGGACTTGAATTCATAGAATTTGAGGATTCAGATTCAGCGCCCTTTCGGGACGCTGTCGGGGATTGATTTTCGTGGAGGCAGAACCTCTCAGTATTCCTGCGGTGACTCAAATGCCAAGGCTTTGGTAGACGGTCACGAATAATGGAGCAGCCTAATCACAGCGTCGTACCTCACGCGGGTATCCATTACGCTTACAGCGTGTGGGAATTGGAGGCGCGCGGGCGGCCGGTGGGAACGTAGTGCGCGCGGACGGTACGCTGAGGATCCAAGGCGCGCGGGCCGCACAGTGCGTGACCTCCCCCGCATATCTAGGCACGCGGGCCGCACTGCTGGCCATTAGCAAGCAAGCGCCGCACGCACCGAATGTCAATGTCGCTCTCAGACAATGCTGCAGCGGCTCGGTCGCTCTAGTGGCTTCGCTGGTGAGGCGCGGCACCTGTATCCCACCTTTACATACGTATGGCCCAGTAGCGGCCCAGTTGTGAGCTGGCGACTATCGGGAACCGAATATTCGTGTTGGATTAATTTATTCGAAATATTCGACTATTCGAATATTCAAGAAAGTCCATTTATTCGATAAAGGTCTTTATTCGAATAATTCATTCATTCGACGATTTCGAAAAATGACTTATTCGAATATTCGTTCATTCGAGGAGTTCTAAAAGATGGTTATTCGAATATTCGAATATTCGAATATTGCATTCAAATATTCGAATAATAATCGAACATTTATTCGAAATTAGTCGAATATTCGATCACTTCGGTTATTCAAGTATTCGTTCATTCGAATTTTAGAATGTACCAATATTCGAATATTCGAATTCATAAAATGAAAATCGAAAGTCAAATAATATTCGTTCATTCGAAGAATTTTCAAAAATCAAATATTCGATATTTATTCGTTCGAAAAATTTTCGAAAATTAATTATTCGATACTCATTCGTTTGAAAAATTTTCAAAAATTGATTATTCCATATTCGTTCATTCGGCAAATATTCTGTTTGTTACAACTATACTGGCGACACGTGTACATAGTCGAGCTTAGGGACCCGTCATACTTCGTCGAAAAAAGCCCAAAAAAGCCCAAAAAAGCCCGAAAGAGCCGAAACGCCCTTACCGTTTGACGCTAGGGCATGTGTGTTAATTTCGCAAAGTCTTTTTGCTTCATCTGTCGTCTGCACATCGGATTAATGTCGTAATTCTACCAAAAGTTCGTTTCTGCGTTCCGGCTCTTCCGGGCTTTTCCCGGCTTTCTTGGGCTTTTTGGGCACTGGGCTTTTCTCGGCGAAGTATGACGGGTCCCTCAGCACTCACATCGGCCGGCGACCGTCCCACGGCTTTCCGGCCGGCGGCCGCTCCATAAATCTGGGCGGAGCTAAACGGCGGCCGGTGACCGCTCCGAAAGATCTTACCGGCTGGCGACCGTTTGATCGGCCGCCAGCCGGTATCTATCTAGGTCCATTTGCCAAAGTGCGGGAATTGCATGGACCTCATAGGAAAGGCTCGCTCTAATTCTTTTTTGGGTGGTCGCAACTTCTTCTCGTTTATGTTTTTGTTTATGTATGTTTATCTGAAGATTATGGGTGCTGCGGTGTCACTGGAAGACACTCAGAACTTCGCCGCGTTATGAGCTGACGTTATCCCGCTTTGCTAGACTGTATTCTTTTTCAGAGTTGAAGGAAAATATTTAAGTCGTTTGTAGTCCTTACTTTCTTCAAATTCACATCCTGCTTGTCTTAAATGGTGTAAGCGTATGTGCATGGAGATGTGCAAGCGAGAAGCTATCGTCGAGTCATTCGTGACTTAATATGCGTAGTGTACGCTAAACATGCTAGCTGACGAACAGCAAAACTAGAACCTGCTTATTTCCACTGATTTCTGCTTGCTTCCTTGTCTCTTTTGTTTTTGTTGATTACATGTTAGTCAATAGAACAGGTTTTACAGGGAAGTTATCGGTAAGGGTGCCGTCGCTAATAGGTTAGTGTGCAGTCTCACATATTAAATTACAAATGATTCGATTATGAGAAGATATAAAGCTTAGATAAAGGAAAAGTATGTTATAAGATTAAGATCAACTGTCACAGATATGAAGACGATATGCATTCCGCAATACGGTAATAATCTACCACTGCGAGCACCCGCCGACAAGTCCACTACCGACCCTTCACACTCCTATAGCCTGCCCGTCTCTCTACAAGTCTCCACATCTCCAACGGTTTTCCCGCCAACGCGGCTAACCAGTATCTCCTTCTACCACACCCTCTGGACTTACATGTGTACCACATCATCACTGTGATTCGCTATAACTGATAAACTGTTATGCCGATACTGTGTTCGTCTATGGGTCAGACAGCAGCTTCCCGGCGCTATGCTTACTATGGTGAAAAACAGGGGATACCAGGCTGAAACGTGCTGCTCGCGAGGTATAGAGTCTAGGTTTGCGTTAATGATTTGAACAAAAAAAAAGACCCCAAAATGACATGTTTCACGTCTTTTAGGAGACAAAGGCGTTATACTGCATGTGTCTGAGATTTTATTCTGCTCATTGAACTTGACCATTGCAATCGCGATCAACATCTCACTCATGATAATGACTATGGCCTTTCAACTAGCGTTATTCTTCGCAGAATGCGTTCCCGGACTACTTTCTTTCTGCTGATTATTCGGTAACTCTGCTGTATATCTACGGATGTTGAATATAGATATCTCATGCGAATTCCCGGTGTTTCTATGCCTATCGTTGTGTACACTCCAAAAGGTAAGTGGGTTTTCACCAATCATTTAACAGAAACTAATCTTGATGAGTGGTTTAGGGGAAACATTCACTGAACGCCTCCTGACATAGACCTTTGGGTTGCTCCGTTCACTAACACAGCAATTCCTGAGCAGGTAAGTCTTGGTATCAGTGATTTCGTTAGTCAAAAGCTTATCTCGTTTGCAGATGTCCGCTGTGTGGTATTCACCCTAAAGAATACGAGAGTACAGCAACCAGTCAATTCAGAATGAGCGGTGGTTCGATCTGCTATTTTCTGCGTTGAATGGGTGTTCTCATGTGCAAAAAAACATCATCTTCTTGTGAACATTGGAAATGTCTAAATTTTATAGCTTCATTAGAGGCGTATTGTATTAGGCTTTGCGTACCAGTTTTATTTGTAAAAATTCCTCACTATGTATGCTTATACAATAAATGGGTATGCCTTTGCGGTTCTGTACTACGTCTCGTATTGGGGAGGGATGCGGTGCAGGAGTGACTAGAGGCCTGCCCCTTAGCCGTAGGAGATAATTAGGAGGGGAGCGCTGTGTAGGAGATTTTGGCAAGGACCCAAGAAAACTTGGCTAGGACACTTATTAGAAACAAACTCTTATAACTCTTCCTAATTAACTTTCAAGAATACGCAGGAGAGATTTGGAATCAGTATTGAAATGCGCATTTTCGGGAGCGGGAGCGCAAAGAAGGAAAATAGTGGTATAGAGGTGTAGAAAATTTTCTCAATGCTTTGGAAGGCCATCGAACAGAGACTTTTTTGACTCAGAAAAGCTTTATGTTTCATCAGTCGACATACCAGAAAGCTTGTAACATACAGATCGAAGTAGACCGTCTCTTTTTTTCCAACTCTCCTGTGAATTCTATAAAAAGATATCTAGCTTCAGCATCAGCTGATTTTATGCAATCACTTTGCGCTCCATTTCTGAAAGAAAGAGGAAAGCTAGAAAAAGGAGACGGTCTTCTAATAATTTCCATGTTCCGTAATCATTAAACCTGGGCATGATCGTAAGTGTCGAAGATTGTTGTGCCGAACAGGTTGTTAGGTGGTCCTTTTATTGTCAGTACTCTTCGGCCTTACGTTTCGACGCTTTCGTCTTCATCAGAGGCCTGGAATAATTCAAAGCTTCATCCTTAACTCCAGCCCATCAAACGTCTCTACCAGGCCTTGTCAGTTTTCGGCGCTTCCCCCAATCTAGTGCTATAAGAATTGTGATGGCAAAAGACATACCAGGGAACCACCGCTTCGTTAGATGTAACGTCTAACGAAGCGGTGGTTCCCTGGTATGTCTTTTGCCATCACAATTCTTATAGCACTAGATTGGAGGAAGCGCCGAAAACTGGCAAGGGCTGGTAGAGACGTTTGATGGGCTGGAGTTACGGATGAAGCTTTGAACCATTCCAGGCCTCTGATGAAGACGAAAGCGTCGAAACGTAAGGCCGAAGAGTACTGACAATAAAAGGACCACCTAACAACCTGTTCGGCACAACAATATTCGACACTTACGAGACGGTCTTCGTTTACTGGCGAAGTCTTGCTCTGCAACTACTCAGACAATCGCCGGGGGCAGGCGGGCACCGGAAAAATAGATTGCTGATCTCTCGCACCCCGCTCGCGGATTTTTTGGAAAGCAATCAGGACTTTCCGAAAGACCGCTTGCTGAGTTCTCGATTTCTCAGAGATTCAGCGATCTATCTGCAAAAGATAAGAGCGAAAAAAAATTCAACAGGCGGTCGCTCAAAAATCCGCTGACTCAGCAAGCGGTCTTCCGAAAAGTCCTGATTGCTTGGGGTGCGAGAAATCAGCAATCTATTTTTCCGGTGCCCGCCTGCCCCCAGCGATTGTCTGAGTAGTGGTTAGGCAACTGGGCATCTTCATTCACTCTTTGCATAAATTTCCTCACAATAACGCACATTTCTAGCCAAAATGCTACGTATCTCTGAGTAGAAGGGAGCTAGAGAAAAAGAGACGGTCTACATCGAATCCCTGTTTCATGAGCTTTCTAATGGTATATAGGTTGGGTGGAAAAACTAGTGGCTTTTTGAAAATTAGGTGGAGATATCTATTTACTATTATCTTGCTCCATCCCGCTCTTGGCTTGTGAGTCGCCGGAGCAAGACGTTTTCGGACTGGGAAAGCTTTGTGCACCAAGACTTTGTACAGCATTCGGTAGCTAAGAACACGAGGAATCGACATAGACCATCTGTTTTTTCCTAGCTTCTCTGTGAAGCTAGATACGAGCAATTTTCTCTAACTACAAAATCAGCCAAGTGTGGTTAAATCTCATGCTTCATTTTTGGAACCAAGAAGGTCTTTTTCAAAGTTATATATATATATATATGATTCGAGAGCTTGAAACGTATAATCCAACTGCTCTTTTATTCATTATTAATCTGTCTAGTGAAAGGAAATATGGTACGATTCTTGAAGTAAACACGCATCCATCACTAGCGAGTCCAGATTTTCTACTCTTGTTCAACTCTTTCTTGCGACAGGTGTATTCAGGGCTCGGCCCAGCTGGCACCGCACCGGATCAAACTGGGTATCGTTTTTGGGGCGGAAAGCAAAGGGGATATCGTTTTTGCAGGTTAGATAGATAGCGCAGTTTGCTAGAATGCCAGGGGCACGCCGCCGGCAAGTCGCCAGCAGCGTGCCCCTGGGACAAACAAAAGTCTTTTTTACAATCAAAACGAAATCATATGACACCAAATTTGGTGTGTGCATGCGCGTTGGGGGACTCGAACTATGGCTTAAGAATTTATGAAAACTTATGTGAATGAAAGCTGTGCTGAACTTTTTTCTGAATTAGCTGGCACCGTGCCAGCTGGGTGCCAGCTGAGCTGGCACCGGCCCTTTGCTCACATAAGTTTTCATACTTTTTACATGAATTGTATCTGCACTGTAAAAGCTTACATACGGAGCAGAAACAGTTTCATAATGTTTTCTTTTCGGCGTTTCATAGCCATCTGCAAATTGCTCGGTCTGCTCCGCAGTCGAAAAATCTGCTCCAATCACAAAGCGCGCCCTAAGCAAATGCAAAACACGCTAAAGGGGACATCGTAGGGAACTTTTAAGATAAGAGGGAACTTCGTTTTAGAATTTCCCTGGTGCCAGCTCGTGCCGAGCCCTGGGTGTTGACACGATGTTAATTATTCAAAGAATCAGACAACCTTTTGATTTTTGATTATGTTTCGTTATCAACGCCACTTTGAGTGCGCATACTGTTTCGCTAGAGTTGGCGGCTGGAGGGTGGGGCTTTGATCGAGAGAACAAAAAGCGTGGGAGAGCAGACCCTGCGTCTCTCTCGCGTACGTGCTTTCTGATCGACCGAAGCCCGCCTTTCAGCCGTCAACTCCAGTGAAACAGAGGGTATATACATACACACACGCAGACAGACAGACCAAAAAAAAATTAGCTTTATATATAAGAAAATGTTTGTGCATATAGATGTTGGTCATTCAAACATCCCCAATGCACACTTAAGATCACGTGAAATTCTTGATTAATCTTTATCTTTCAATGCAGTGCATGTACGTGGCGGAACAAATAGTTTGAAACGCAAACTTAACGAAGAGTGTTGATATCGATGATATATGTATATACAATACCGCTCACAAAATGTGCAAAATTTCCGTGGATATCGCGAAATTCCGAAAATTCCGCGAAATTCCTGGAATTTCGCGAAACTTCGCAAACTTTCCGAAATGTCGCGAAATTCCGGAAGGTTCGCGGAATTTTCGAAATTTCGCGATATTTACGGAAATTTTGCACATTATGTGAGCGGTATTGTGTCTGGCTGAAAAACTGATAAATCCGTAATTTTCTCATGTGCTGCTAGCAGCTGAACATTAGAAACGGCTTGTGAATGTTTTCATTCAAACCTTCATGCTGAAGTGATCTATAAGCTTTTCCACAGTTATGACAATACCACGCAGTTATGACAGTGGAATGTGAAAATTTTCGGCGAATTCGCCAAAATCGGCGAAAAACGCAAAGTCGCCGACTTCGCCGACATCGCCGAGAATTTTCACATTCCAAAGTCATAACTGTTCGAATGCAGTATGAAGCAAATTTTATAATTTCCGCTTACATGGATTGCTCGACGTGCTAACAACATTTCTTATATTGTTTTGCTGCTGGTGGCACATTATAGAATAGAATATCTGCCAAATTACACGACTTTGAATTTGAATGACAATTCATGAGAAGGCGATTTTGTAACATCATAATCTGACGAACAATGCAGGTAAAGATCTGCGCTAAGCATGGTCCGGTAGAGGTGTTCACAATGTTTTGAAATCACAAAAATATGCAGACAATTTCCGCAATAGATATGCAAAAAGTGCAGGCGATGCGATTTTGATGTGTTGAGCCACTTCTATCTCACTTTAGCTGTACTGTAAGACTCTCTAGTGCAAAATAAATAGGATTTTTGTAATGATCGGGACCAAAAACCACTATGAGCGAAGATTCCCGGTCAATCCGAGAACCTCAATATTTTGACCAAATTTTGCGCCAAGGCCATGAGTGAGGAGCGAGCACGCGCTATATCAGTGTGTATTGCTTCTGAGAAGCTGGAAAAAATATGGGGTATATAAGTATGAGAGAGGTGTCTAACATGATTTTTGGGGGAATTACGGAGCAACTTTGGGAGAGCCGATTTTACAGCCTGAGCATGCATGTTGGGAGGCTAATAACTCTGCGAATATTACAGATATGAGGCTGGAGTTTGTTTTATTGGACAGACTTCTAAGAATATGATTTTGAGAAGGTCGTAGAATAACAAGTTTCCAATAAAAGTGCCTAATTGACAGCTGAACTTGGGAAATCTGTCAATAAAAGCGAGTTTTCGACTTTATATCTCTGCAAATTGTAGGGTTGGGGTAATCACATGTAATCATTGATATGTACTTTTGATAGCTCTATTTTTCTAGGGGTAGATCCTGGTTGTAGCTCCACTGTAGGAGGCGCTATATAGCGATGATGCATATTTTGAATTTTATCTCCGTGAAGAGTAGGCATAACAGGCTGGGATAGCCATTCTTCAGTTTGAATTCGAGGGGGACACCACATATAATTCGGAGAAATTGCAGGGGCTCCGCTTGTGGGAGCCCATCTATAAACCTTCCCGGACTTGTTTTTTTTTGTTCAGGGTCTCGCAATTTCTCCTCTTTCTCCCTCCTCATTTTTCCCCTCTCTTTATTTCTGCAGCGCGTGTGATAGTTACCCGCGGCCATCTGGACCTGGTTAGGGGGCTGAAAGCGGCTAGAAAGGGGGTAAATCGGGCTAGAAAAACGTGATTTTCGCCTATTTTCCCTTATTTTTTCTTAATTTTTCTTATTTTCTCAAATTTTGATCGTGATGTGGGGTGTAAATGGGCGGAGCTTGCTTGGAGGAGTTTCAGTTGTATAAAAGCACTGGAAATGAGCTTATTATGGAGTTTTTCGAAATTTTCGCTTAGCTTTTCGATAATTTTACCGATTTCCGAAATTTCGAAATCGCCAGAATATCGATTTTATCGATTTTATCGATTTTCGTTAATTTTTGGGTTTTCGCAACCTTCAAAATATCGATTTTATCAGTTTTTCGATTTTTGGGATATTGATTTTCGTTAATTATCGGGATTTCATAACCTTCAAAATATCGATTTTATCGATTTTTGTCAATTAGCGAGATTTCACAACCCTCAGAATATCGATTTTGTCGATTTTCGGGGTTTCGCAACCTTTAAAATATCGATTTTATTGATTTTTTGTCAATTTTCGGGATTTTACAGCCTCAGAACACCGACTCTACCAATTTTTGAGGATTTGGTGGTTCACTAACCTCCAAAATATCGATTTTTCGCTTTTTAACTGTGAACTGTAAGCCCCGCTATGATATCGCAATACAATACCGCTCACAAAATGTGCAAAATTTCCGTGGATATCGCGAAATTCCGAAAATTCCGCGAAATTCCTGGAATTTCGCGAAACTTCGCAAACTTTCCGAAATGTCGCGAAATTCCGGAAGGTTCGCGGAATTTTCGAAATTTCGCGATATTTACGGAAATTTTGCACATTATGTGAGCGGTATTGTACATATATATATATATATATATATATATATATATTATATATATATATTTGTTAGAGTCTACCGATGTTATCAGTGTTACCCGTGTTACCCGTGTTACTACCAGTGTTACGCTACCCGTATTACCCGTGTTACCCGTGTTACCAGTATTATATATATATATTTGTTAGAGTCTACCGATGTTATCAGTGTTACCCGTGTTACCCGTGTTACTACCAGTGTTACGCTACCCGTATTACCCGTGTTACCCGTGTTACTACCAGTGTTACGCTACCCGTATTACCCGTGTTACCAGTATTACTGGTGCGTGTTATACTCATTAGTCAGTGAGAATGCGCTCGAGAGTGAGACTGTATTGGTGATCATTTCACTACTCAACAGCAATAAAACGGTAACACTAATGACACTTTTAACACGAGTAATACGAGTAACACGAGTAACATGGTAATTCCGGTAACACTGATGACAGTGGTGACGATCTCTGACGGATCCCTAATGGCTCATTACTCGTATTGGACCGTAGGCAGGGCACCTGTAGAACCAAGGATCAGCAACTTATCTCACAAAATCGTTTCGCAAACTCGAAAGCAGACTTATATAATAATGTCTGAAGCCTCACATTTCCTTGCTGAGCGCCAGTGTGACTTGGTATCTTCACTGTAAGTAGCAGATGATTATGCCTCGTCAAAACGAGTGGAATGGTGTCATCCAAGACTTGCCTACTTTGAACGGAGTTATGGCGCTCAAAATCCAAAGTTCGGCGTAGAAGCAAAGTGTGGTGAAATTCATGTTCCAGCTGTTAAGTGCGATGGTGCTACGGGCTCTTCTAGGTTATAAGCGGTATTGTATCCGTGGTAACGACTCACATGATTACACATTGTCAAAGAACCTTACGCGGGCGTATGCAGATATGTTTTCTGATTGCTTTCTGATATGTATCAAATCACGCTTCAGCAAGCGGAATTAAGGGGAGGATTCATTTTGTAGCATGGACACGGAGAATCGGCAGGAAGCTAACCAACAAGCACAGTTGGAAGAACCGGCGAAAGCCGAACTCGAAGCCATTGGCGATTTGACGGCTATCGAAAAGGTGAGTTGTTTTCCGTTTGTAGGAGTACAAAAAGGTAGTTCAGCTGGTGGTTGTCGGAAACTTAAAGTTTCAACATGTTAACAACGGTTGCGGCTTAAAGATCCTATTAGGCCTCCCTGAAGTTTGCGCTGTCCCATGTTCCTGCAAGAAGCGGTAGAGGACGCTGCGACGCCACCATGTCGCATGTTCGCTAACCTCTTGAAAATCGCGGCGTCCTATGGTACTGTGCCGGAGACGCCAGTGGGCAGCAATACAGCATTTTTGCAAGCGCTCGGCAAGTAATTTCTTCCAGTAGCGCTGGCCAAACTTTCGGCAAGCGCTCGGACTCTTTTTACGCATTTTCGGGCGTACGTCGAGCACAGGTAAGTGTGTGGCAGAGGTGTCACCGTTGGTTTAATTACTCAAGTTTGGGGTACTTTCTCTCAGCGGAAAGTGCCTGGGGGCTGCGTGGTCCTTCACAAAGGACCGTGCGGCCCCCAACAATTCTGCATATTCTCGCGGAAACTCCATGAGAATGCGGCCACTGCACCGCCGCAGCTAATCTGTAAGCAAACCGCGATTGTTCTCCAAGCATTCGTCTAAAATTTCGCTAAAATTATTCCAAATTTCTGCAAGCGGACCACAAGAAATCAGCGAACTATTTTTCCGGTGCACGCTTGCTCAAAATTCGCATGGCCGCCTGCCCCGGCGATTATCTGAGTTGGTGTCCGTGGCCCTTGGAGATGAAATACATACCATTACACTCACCTTAGAGCGCTAATTCCGAATCTGACTTCCGTTTTTTGATAAACGTTTCGGTACTTTTCCGTTATTCGGACCCATTTTTTCAAAGAAAGAAATTGCTTCTATCCTTGAATCATACTTTGTCCCAGCTTCACAGGAAGGAGTGTCAACCTTCTGTCACGTGCCAAAAAAATTTGACATGTCATTTACATGTTTAACAAGTTTTACCAAGAGTTTGTGTTACCCTACTCAGCGACGTAAGTTCAATTAATTTTTTAGTCAATTTTGACCTCATTTCGATTAAAAGGTATCAAAGTGAACATTGTCATAATAATGAAGACATACCATGATTGATAACTGATTAGACTTGCTCTAAATAGAGAATTGCGTTAGATTCCGTCATTCAAGAGTCGAAACAAGCAGCAGCAAGGAACTTCAAGCTATCATTTATAGTCCTCTCGGCTAAATTCGCATGGCGAAAAGTGTTTGGAGAGAGATACAATTTTGAATCAATACTGAAAGCAAGCAAGATGTTCAATAAGTTCATGATTGTTTTGTGCTCATGGTAAAAGAGTTAAACAGCTACAAAATAGTCACTAATTCTCTTTTATATCAGCGGAAATGATTTCGAAAAAACATGTCAAAATGAACCAAAACGTGTCAGTTTTTTCGTGACACGTGGCAAGAAGGCAGCCATCGTAGAATCTATGAAAAATTATTCTTAGAGTAAAGAAGGTATAATATGAGAGGATTTTAAAATTGGGTCCGGATAACGGAAAAGTACCAACGTTTCTCTGAAAAAAGTTATGAAGGATTTCCGCGCCAATGGAGATGCGGTCGGAATGCCAAAATCGCCGCTAAGAGTGGTGTAATGGCTAGTGCGATAGCCTCGCAAGTTAATGCAGATTTAGGTTCGAGTCCTCTTCTGCTTTTCAGTTTTACATTGCCTCACTCAAGCTTCTTTTGAAAGTTAAGGGGTGGAGGACATTAGGTCGCCGAAAAAGGGCGGTCCTCGCGGTTACTTGCGACAAATACGCACCCTTGTACATGCGCGGACATGCGTTCCTGCAGGGAATCCGCGCGCGACTCTTCCAAATTCGGCGACCTAATGTCCTCCACCCAAGTTAGGCATCCTCGAACGTATTTCCTTTGGGCGACCATTGACGCGAAAATCCTTCATAACTTCTTTTAGAGGAACGATTAGCAGAAACGGAAGTCATGTTTGGAATCGCATTTCAAGACGAGTGTGATGGTATATGTTTCATCTCAAAAGGTCACAGACACCAAGTATCGTTCTCTTGTTAGTCTCTCTTAGAACTATAGAGAGAGCAGACCCACCTTCAAGTGGAGAGGTTTCTGCTTGTGTTGTTCCGTTGAAGGCGGCGTCTCGGCAGAATGAAGCTACCTCGGATTTTGACACAGATGGTAGGAGGCCCTTTAAGTGAACCAAAACAGCAACTCTGAGCCGAAAATGTGAACTCTGCAAGCCAGGGAGGCGGCTCAATCGCCGCTCCCCTTCCTCCTTTCGCCCCCCCCCCCCCAACACCTTGTTCGGACGAGTATGTTCTCCGCTAAAAAGCGCGCCGTCACTCGTAGCTTCGTAGGGCAGAATTGTTCTAGCGCTCTCTACCGCCTTACTCTGCGTTTCTGACGGCAGAGAAAAACGGCTCACTCGTCCGCGCCCGTCTCAGAGGGGGTTTCAAAAGACGGGGTTTTCCCCATTTTCGCGCTAAGGGTAGTTCATCGTGATTCAGGGGGCCGGAATAGCCCCAAATCTGCCAAAATCCCGAAGTTGAAAATCTGTTGAGCCGCTGCCTTTAAGCGACTTTTGCGTCTGCTGGCATTTTGTTACAAAGAAGAGATCCGTTGGAGAGAATAAACGGGATGCTACTATCTTATTCCGGAACCCATATCCAATTTTCGCGATTCGCTGTTCCTGTTCTGGTGGCTTTTAGTTTCGCGCTGAAGTTGCCCTTAAAGAACATGTAGTAAAATTTTTTCTGTTGAGGACCGTCTGCTCTACATTTATTGAAAGCAACACATTTCATCATCTCATAATGTTGAAGGATAGCAGTTGATGATGCCAATAATTCTTTGTCGGAAGAACACTTAGAAGCTAGTCAAGAAAATTATCTCAATTCAACCACATGGTTAGAAGAGAAGGAGGCGGTAAACAACACGTCTATGCTTTTGAAAATGTATTGGGTAGCGCTGCTTCTCTTTCTTCACAAGCCAATGTTCCTTTTTTGGCTTGCTCGCTTTCCTCAGTTATCCTTGACGGACTAAGAGGCTGATTGCATTGGCACGTGGCTTTATAAATGCGGGGAAATTTGGCTAATTCCTTGTCAGTACACCAATCGATCTCTATCGGCAAAACCCGACCTTGTATAGATCATGCATATGACTCCATTTGAAAAATTCCCTCATGAAGATTTGGACGTGAAATAGCAAATTGCATATTTAGAAGTCTTCGGACAAACACAAGAAAAAGTCCGAGAAGAAGGCAGCATTAAATTCGCAAGAAGACGCTGATACAAAGTCCTTGGAGTTCACAAGAGAAGAAGTGGACTCAGCTCGCACTCCTACAGTTTATTCGAAGAAAACCACAAAGGGGTCTACGAAAAAGTTTGGAGAAACTCGGGATCACAAAGGAACACCAAAGGAAGCTAGTGAGCTATCATATTGTCTTTATCGAAATTCCCTTTTGCCCAAAGAAAAGTATCGCGTATCTTGTAGCAAGTTTTGAAGATGTTAGGTTGGCATGAAATTTGCTTGATCTAAACGAAACTCGAAAACCATCTGCATTTAAGGCTTTGTTTTCTGAAAATTGAAACATTTTGATTTGCGGTCGAGTGGTGTATGTGCAACTTGTTGTTGAGTAGCCTTGAACAGCGAAGATTTTAGAAGCCGCACTTTAGTTGTCTTTCAGTTCGTCCCAGTTAGTAATGTTCTGATTGAGCTGCTAGCTTGCCCATTGTTTCTGAAAATTTCTTATGTAGCGATAAACTCTACACCACTGCCAGGCTTGATATGCGAAACAAAATTCGTGAACATGATTTTGCCCAAAAAAAAACGCTATATTACTTCAATCTTTTCGCAGAGACACGTTCGAGACTAACTAGCTGAATATTAGAATCTGTGTTGGATTAGACGTTTTTTGGGTCTCAGATGTGTTTTTGTTGAACAGCAGTACCAAGGGGTTTTTTCCGGGAACTAACGTTCTTCACAAATTCACTTCTGCATTTCAGTAAGAGCGAAGCCTGCCCCTGTGTGCACTACTGCACTACAAAGGAATTTCGAAAACTTATTTAAGGCTAGGCACACACCAAAATTTTATGAGGCCGAACTCAAAATTATGGAGTTTGAAGTGCCCTTTCTGGAAGCTTTGTTCTCTGAGGCTAGCCTACGGAAGCCCTTAATCTACTGACTGTCATAGAGCGCGATCCTTCTTCTATTTTCGTAATGCAAGACCATAGATTCAATTTGTTCCAATTCCGCAAAAAAAGTGTCACTTGATTTCAATGTGGCAATCGTACAAGGGTTGTAAGCAGTCGAATATGTGTTGTGCCGTCTTGAATCTTGCCCGATTATTCAAAAGACGCAGTTGAGCGCTACATGCATACCTACTTTTCTATATCAAAGAAAAAGATTGAGATGAATTTGCAACAGCGAGGAGTTTGACTTAGTTGAGATTTGTGAGCGCACGCTATTTCCTTGCCGATTCGACAAGAATTCAGTAAAAAGATGCAGTGAGAAACTCTCAAAAATCGAACTTTTATATAGCTTGTATCGTTCGTACCCACTCAACACCTTGCAATTCTCTCATAGCCGAACTGTTCACTACAAAATCATAAGAACAAATAACTTCGTTTTGACGCGCAACTTCAAAGCTTTGCAGACCGAGCAGCTGTTATTTGATTGATTTTTATAAGATAGTTTCAAGTCTCTGCTTTCACAATAATGAAAGCAACTACGTCTCTATAAAGCCAATATTGAAAAAGCATTATATTTACTTTTCAAGCTTCGCTTTCAAGCTGTAATGAGTGTACAGAAGAGTGATTTTTTAATTTGATAATACAACCTTTGGTTACTTGGTTATTCATAATCAAGATTGTGACCTAGTCTTCATGTATTTTTGCCGTCGAAAATGTGACAGCGGACGTCAGTTCATGGACAGTCCAGTTTGTTCGACTTAGACCGGACCTCGGGTCATGCAAATCGTTAAAAATACGAAAATCTAATGTGCGAATGACTGTCTACTTTACATCGTCTTTCAGTCCGCATTCTGAGGCATGGAGCTATTTTCGAATAATTGAATAATCTGAGTATTCTTTTCCTGCACCTACTCGTCATCAAATATATAATTTTTTCTCAAATAGAATTGACCACGCTCCTTGCTCCTTTATCTACTCTTCCCAATGATACCAAACATTTACACATAAACTTACAGGGCTCCTAAATTGCAGAGTCGTTTGCACCAGCTTTTGCACCAGCGGCCGCGTCCGCGTCGCGTCGCGTCCCGGCATTTTGCCAGCGCCGGCGCTGGCGCCATCGATCGAGGCCTGACAAAATGCCGGGGCGCGAAGCGGTCGCGCGGCTGCTGATACAAACGACTCTGCAATTTAGAAGCCCTGTATCTGTAACTTCCTACAAATTGTTCAAAACTCTAAAATTCTCAAACCAACTTATACGTTGTGAGAGACCCCAACCTCTTAAAGTTGAGTTGAAAAAAGTAAACCGGGATTTTTTTTACATCTCAATATTTTGAGTCATATAACAAATCAAAGTAGCCTCCATGGTTTTTGTATATCAAAACTGGACTTTGTGCTGTCGCGCTGAGCGGTCGCTCCAACGTTCTTTCTCGTATCCGCTAAAAGCTAACTCTTCGAAAAATTGTGCATTTACTACTCCAGGCGCATCACCCATGTACTACTTCCCTTTTCCTAACTCGGCTTATTCTTCTGCAGATAACTCACATCGAATGTGGGAAAGGACAAGCTCTGCTTGACTTCATCCTATCCTTTTTAACCAAGCACCCGAACAGGCCCCAGCGCGAGTCGGTGAGCCTTCTTGAAAAGGAAGTCCTCCTGATTTTCCAAAGTTTTATGGAACCTCTTTTGACGTCAAAATCAGTAGGAAATTTATTTATCAACATGATTTGTTCAATACAAGAGAAAAGCCGAGAACCAGGATCAAGCAAGGGGTGTGGCACACGATCATTGGTTACGACCCCCCCCCCTGATTGCTGTCTTAATAAGACCCCCCCCCCCTCTGAACTATACACTTAATATAGCATTACTTGAAAGCCCTGTCAAACATAATGGACAATATATCCATAATTAGCATGTCAAATAACCCCTGTAGACAAAGTGTGAGCGAATTCTGAAGATTCAAGATACTAGGCTACCTAAGTGAAATGGTCAAATTCCAACATGGTTAACTTTGTTTCAAAGGTGAATTAGCTATCCGTTTTTGCACTCAAGACAAAGCACTACTCCTTCTTTGTCCACCTCAGGAATCCCGCTTCAGAAGACCTCCAAACTGTGGAATTAGAAGCCAACCAAAATCTCGTTTTTCCCATTTTTCGCTTTTGATCGCTGTGCTTTCACCAAATATTACTCAGAGCTAAGAAGACGAATCAGGCTCAAATCACCGACCCCCTCCCCTTTTGACTCCTCAATACGACCCCCCAGGTGTGGCGTGCCGCACCCCACGCTTGACTCTGCCGAGAACCATATTTTGAGGTATTTGATAGAAGGCTGAATTATTGAGAATGGTACCATTTTGGTGTCCAGTATATCGAAAACCTCCTAGGGCATCATTCAAATCTAGAGCCTGTAATCATTTGGCGATTAGTCGTCACATAGCTTCACGGACGCCCTGACATGAGTGGTCGAAACGCGATATCTAACGCGTATTTTGTACCCTAAAATCCGTACATTAAGTCCGCCTATCAGACAAGTCCACCTATCAGAGTCCGCAGCAGACCTAGCAGATAAGACCGCTTTCTCATGCTCAGGATAGGCGAACTTATCTGCTGCGGACTTATCTGATAGAGGATTTAAGGGAGGACTTATCTGCAAGACTTTTGGCGGCACAGAGGGCGATTTTTCATCGATTTTGTGAGTGTCAAAACTGCAGATAAGTCCGTACTTATTGTACGGATTTTAAGGTACTATTTTTTGGCTAAAGAATAGAGGTAATGGTTTGACTTGTTCTCTTTACTATATAATAGATTTTTGAGCGTTCTAAGGCTGGCTTCATACTGATTACTGATCTAGCATGCGCAAGTAATTCTGTTTTCTCTCACATTTTGTCGAAAAAACCAGAATGGGATCATCAGAGATGAACGAAAGTGAAGAGATTCCCTTTTCCGCCGTTGATAAATCCTTTGCATTATCCAAGTATTTCACAAATCTTTCGCGGATGTTGAACTGGACTGCCCTTATCTGTGTGAAATCTCTTTTGAAGATCTTTCCATACCGATGTTCACTAGCAGCGAAGTATGTAAATGAGCTTTGAAAACGGCCAGAGCTTCTGTGTTACATCCGGGAATATTTCAACCTTTTCGTATAAAGGTATGCCAAAGCTGCCAAAGTGAATGTCCCTTTGCCTTATTTCAGTATATCTTTGATGCCGGTACACTCTCAAAGCTCTGAAAATAAATCATGGTTGTTAAAGTGCCTGAACTCACGGGGACAAATAAGGTTTCGTCTGAATTCCGTTAGCATATTGCCAACACCTTGCAAAATTATTTACTTATTTATTTGAATACCTCAGAGATCATAGTGTTGGGTTAGTAACTAACAGGTCTACGGAAAAAAATCAGCGTTAGAAACAAAGAACACAGAAACAAAAAAGACTAACGCAGAAAACCATATTGCGTTTTTTGAGATCATATTCCAATCCACAATCAATAAATGATACAACACAAGGTCTAACTATCAGAAGGGCCATAAAGAGTTCTCATATGAGTCTGCGCATGCCACCCTCGCTCGCAAGCAAGCGACCTATACTCACGGTGTATGAAGGAGACACTACAAAACGGGATGCTAGCGCAACAAGGCAACCCTTGTGCACACGAACATACTGGATGAGCCACAAACTCAATAGTAAGATTGGAAATAAGCTCGGTAAGAGTGTATTTGGGCAGGTTTCTTAGGTTAACCTTGTGCACCAACTCAAGGAGAAGAATCAGATTCAAACTGTGACAATGTGTCTTTACTCGAGTCGAACTGAGGCATCATCACAAAAGATCAAGCGAAAGATAACGACGTCTATCTTCAGACTTACACTGAAGGCAATCGTAGAAAAGAAAGGTTAGAACTTAATCGCGCGTTGTCAACAAGTTTTGCACACAACATAGCAGCCGAGAAGCGGGATCTGAAAAGAAAAGACCAAGGAGAACAACTACGAACGAAAAAGATTGAGGCAAACTCTCAAGCATGTTGCATATCAAAAAGTCGTTACAGGGAAATAAACGTAAAGTCAGCCCGAGTACCATCGTCTGAAAAGAAGGAAGAATAAGAAATAATCTTATATATAAAGCTGAATGTCTGTTTGTATGTCTGTCTGTCTGTCTGTATGTGTGTACGTATGTTCCGAATAGAAAATTCCATTTCTGAACCGATCGGGACCAAACTTGGCACACATACACTTCGGGCCCCGG